GCGGGGCGGGGTGCGCGCGGCGCCCTCGCGGACGTGGACTCGGCGGGCGAGACAGGTGGGGCGCGGCGCTTCTGAGCCCGACCCGGTGGCACGGCCAGCCTCGTCCTGCAGCTGAGGCCGGGACGCGATCTCTGGCTCGTTTCTAACGTGGACAGGCTCGTGTAAGTAATTCTTAGAAATGTGTTTTCTACATCTGTTTTTTTTTTTTTTTTTTTTTTTTGGATGCCTATACCAAAAGTCCAAGACCCGAGGCTTCTTTTTGCGTTGGCGCACCTTTGCCAGTGATGTCACAAACGGCTTTATTCGGGAACCCGTTTGGGTCCCCTGGAAGCACCAGCGGCTGCGAGACACAAGACGCAAGGGCTGTTTCCAGGGCACCCTGAATGAAACTCAATGTATGAGTTCTCGGTATACAGAGGAGAAGCGCTGGGGCACCCCTGTCTGCTCGCACTGACCCGCTGCTTAATGGCTGCTGGGCTGGTGGTGCCTCGCCGTCTAGACGGTGGGAAGGTGGTGGTGACAGCGGGACAGATGCCGCAGAAGGATACGACGGGTTATGGATCCTCTCTTACTAATATGGAACTGTGAAGCCAGTGTCGCTCTGTATGGATGGAATTCTAAACGAGGTTAAATCACCTAGTTTCTTGGCCACTTTAACATGTAAGCAGGTTACCAAAAACATATTACCATAAAAAAATCACAATGCATTACCCAACCAGATAATTCCTTACTTCTTTTTTCCATATTCCTTGCCAGGATCTTAAGGATTCCCACCCCAGTATGCCTTCCTTTGCCTCTTCATTTCACTTCTCCCCACCGCTACGGTGATGCCTCAGTTCCCCTGGAATTGAACTCACGACCTTACACTTGGCAGGTAGGCGCTTATGCCACTGAGCTATATCCCCAGCCCAGCAAAGTTAATTCTTTCCGTGATTCTGTTTGTTTGTTTGGTTGGTTGGTTTTTCTCCGGTACCGGGAACCGAACTCACGACCTTGCGCTTGCCAAGAAGGCGCTTTGCGGCTGAACTAATTCCCCAGCCCCTGTTTTGTTTTTTGGTTTTTTTCCGGTACCAGGAATCAAACTCATGACCTTGCACTTGCCAGGCAGGCACTGTGCCGCTGAGCTAAATCCCCAGCCCCCTCTTTCTGTGATTCTGGTCGCAAACCGAACTGGACAAGAACCGAATCAAATTTGCCCAGGAGGTCAACATTGAATGAAAAGTCGTGATATAAAAACTTTCTTCCTAAATTTATGTTACCTTATGAATCAAGTCTCACACCCTGATGAGTATCACAGTATCAGTGAGAATGACTCAAAAGACAGTAACATCGCCATGGACTATTTAAATTTGCTCTCCCACGGGAAGGTTTGCAAGGGCAGCCTGATTTTTTTTTTTTCCAGTTGTGGTCATGCAAACTTCACAAAATGCGTGATACTATTTGACTGTTGTTCCCAAAGCCCAAAGGAGGTATCTTCAGTGCCACCGGGTTGAGAGGGATACAGGATTACACAGCTGTCTTCTTAGGTAAATCTGACCTACTTAGCCTTCTCTGGAGGTATTTTTCTTGCTGACTCATGAGCAACAGGAAAGTTATGGCCCATTAAGCAGCTTCCAGGTTTTGGAGTAAACTTCTCCAATGAAGAAGGCTCCTGTGTGTCTTGTGTGATATTTCCATTATTCCCCTTGTTGGTAGGTGATGTGGTCACAATACTGGAGCTGGACAATTGGGGGATATATTTACCAGCCCCGTTACCTCGTTTTACAGAAGAAACTAAAGCCCAGAAAGCTGAGAATCTAAGTGACAGAGTTCTTCTTAGTGATGGTTATGATTTTCAGCATACTAATTTTTAAATTAGATTTATATAAGCCACTGAGCAGGGTGTGTAGCTCAGTGGGAGAGTGTTTGCTTAGCATACAGTCCAGGATTTAATTTCTAGCATTGCAAAAAGCAAAACACAGGCTCCCTAAATGGTTAAATCTAAATTTATTTTAAATATGTAAGACATTAACAATTTTTTTTTACCTACTTTGCCCTTGTTTCTTTTTTAAATGAGTACAGGTGACAACCAAGCTATCAACCAAGTATCAACCAAGTTGATAAATGTGAGTTACATCAAAACACATCTTACATAAAACCATCTGTGAAGTGTTAAACCCCAATCACCTATCTCTAAATCAGGTTACAAGGTGGCTGTGAAGATTAAATGAGACAATACAGAATATGATTCAGTAAATGCTAGAAATTAGGTTCTCAATACATGCTAGAAACTATGCTATATTTATTTACATTGGGGGGGCTCACCAAACCTTTTATTAACATGGTAAATTTGATAATAATTCAAGAACTTGAATAACTTATTCTTACTCATAGCTGTCATTCAGACATGGTAGACATCAGAATACAGTAATCAGTGAAAATATGTATGTAAAAATCTGTCTGATGATCCATCCATCCGTCCATTTTGGGCCTGGCCCAGATGAAAACAAAACCAGTGTTTCCTTAAGCTACCACCACTATGCCTGCTGGGGTCCCAGTCTCCTGATTGACTGGAGGAAGTGCCTCAAGGGCATGTGTTTTAGGCGGGGCAGAAACCTGGTAACTGAGTTCCTGTGTTCGTGAGCTGGAGACTGCCTCCTGAACTCAGAGGGACCCTTCATCCCACCTTGTCTCTTGAAGCCTCCATGAGGTACAATAGGTAAGGATTCTCTCCTTCCCAGGCTACTTTGTTGTGTTAAATTATTTTCCTTTTCTGCTGAAGGACTGTCAGACAATCTGTGGAGGAGTAGCAATATTCACAGTCACACAATGACAACTTTCTTGAGATTTTCAAATAAAACAATACAATAAAAAGGCTAAATTTTACTGTATGTGAATTAAATCAACTAGGTTAAAATTTTAAATTAAAGAACTTGCTTTTTTGAGAGTCCTCACTGTGTAGTCCAGACTGGCCATGAACTCACTATGTAGTCCAGACTGGCCATGAACTCACTATGTAGTCCAGGCTGGCCTTGAACTTGCTGTAGATAGTCCAGCTAGCCTCAAACTCTTGGTCCTCTGCCTCAGCCTTCCAAGTGCAAGAAATAACTGTAGACAAAAATAAATTTTTAAAGACAAAAACAAATTTTAAATGGAGACTACCATTTGGTTTATACATGGTAATATGGATGTGGTCCTGCTAAATGTTTAAATATGGTTAGGGCTGGGGATTGTACCTCAGTGGTAGCATGTTTGCCCAGCATGTATGAGGATCTGGGTTCATAAATATGATTAAATGAATGATGCATGAATTATAAAAAGGAGTTATCTTCCCAGCTTCCTTTGCACTGTGGCCTCTCTTGACAAGGTCTGGTCAATGAGAGATAAGCAAACTTCTGGATTGACTTCCAGGAAAGCTGTTGTTTCCCTGATGAAAAGGAATAGATTTAGCTGGCACAGAGCTTTTGCTCTGTGTCCATCCAGGTGGAACACAGATGTGATGTCCAAAGGTTTGGCGGCTGACTTTTCCTATCGAGACAAAATACCCGATACTCACAATTTGGGGAACAGGCTTACTGGTTCACAGATTCAGCTGTATGGCAGGAACAGTAAGGACAGAAGGACATGTGGCCAAGAAGTAGGACAGAAAAGGAAGGATTAGGGACAAGAATACATCCTTTTAGGTCATGTCCCCAGTGACCTGCCTCTAAACAGGCCTCATCACCTAACAGCACATTTTACTACTGAACTCATCAATGTATGAATCCATTCACCTTCCAGACAAATGAGCCTTTGCAGGCACGTTTTAGATCTAAACCATAACTTTACATCTCTGGCCCCCCAAAGACTCATCTCATTATACAAAATGCATTTAGTCCATCTTTAAGAGTTACCAGAGTCTTCACAGTTCCAGCATTGCTGGGAAGTTCAAGTCCAACATTTCCTCTGATACTAAAGGCAAGCAAGCTCTTCACTGTGTAAAAATACAGCTCTTCACCCTGTAAAAATAAAAAAGAAAGTTAAACACTTCCAAGATACAGTAGCGCAGAGTAAATATTTCCATTTCAAAAGGGGAAGAGGGACATAGAAATGAATGATGGGACCAGGGAAAACATTAAAACCTGTAGCTCTGTGTCCAGCACCCAGGCCACATTTTGGTGCAGTGTGAGCTCCAAAGAGTTTGGATGGCCCTATCTCTCTTGCATTGCCGGTTGCCACCCTCATAGGCGCTCTCTTGGGTTACTCCACTCACTGCAGCTTTCCTCAGTAGATGATGCATGTTCCTGGCATCTCCAACTTTCTGAGGTCTCCAGTATACTTTCAACCTCACTGTCACACACTGCCCTCTCAGGGCCATGCTGCCTGACCTTCCAGGCCTTCTTACAAAATCTGGGTGGAAGCCTTCATAGCCCCACAACTCTTGCATTTTGCATACCTGAAAAACCAACAGTACATACTGGTTTACCACCAGCACAAGAAGTAGCCAGGGCCCCCTGGACTTGAGCCTTTGAGTGCCTGGATGACTAAGCACTGTAAAACAAATGCAGGGGAACCAATTCCTTTGATGACCCTTCTCAAGCAGGGGACCCTGGAGTTCTCTTCTCAAAAGAAAGCTTTACAGTTTTTCACCCATGAGCCTGCAAAGGGTGGGGTCTTGCTGCTTCCTGAGATGCCTCAGGCCATCTTTCCTATTGTCCTTAAGTAAAGTACTTGGCTTCTTTTTGGCAACCATGTTTTCCTTTGCTCCAACTTTGTATGCTTCAATTCTGGTAAAACTGCACACTGTTCAAAGTCTTCCACTCTGCAGTGTGTTCCTGCTTTTCACTGCAAATCTGGCTAAAGACAGCAGTACCCATACCATAACCTGAATGATGTTGGGCTGCCTTGAAATTTCCTCTGCCAGATTAGCACACTGCCTTTAAGCTCAGTCTTTCCCAAAGTCTCAGAACAAAGACAAAATGTAGATAATTTTCTGTCAGAACATAACATACAGGGCTTCTAGTCCAGTTGCCAGTGGGAACATTATTCTCAACTAAAACCTCCTGAGCTTGGCCTTTACTGTCAGCATTTCTGTCAGCATTCTGGTCTTCTGAACTCCAACCAGCGTCTCCCATTAAGCTCACCAGTTCACAGACTTAAACTCTAGGTCTTCTTTAACCAACATCTGAAAGCCTTTCCAAAC